TGTAGGGATGTTGTAAACCTCAGCAAACATAGAGATTCTTAGTGAGTCAATATCTCAATAACAGATAGTATTTGCTCTATTAGTATCACTTGCACTTAGATATATTCACAATATAATGATCAAACATACATATAATATGTGTGTTTATGTTTGATGCACTTCTTTCTGCAGTATAGATGAATTCATTACATGTACATGTATAGTGGAATGGAAGTCTTGCTCTCTGTTTAACATGAGTTCTTAACTGTTCAAATTCAGGTGATCCCAGCGAGAAGTCACATCAGTGTTACTGCCAGTTATACACCATACACTAACTCAACCGTAGAAAGCGGTACAGATTGTGTCGGCTATGCATTGGGTTTTATGAGTCTTGACAATGATAGAGTGCAAAGTATAAAAGGCTGTGTACAAAGACAACAAGCATTAGATGTGATGCCATTAAGATTGGATTTCACAGCGCACGTCAAGCCAGCATTGTAAGTACATATAATATCAGAATATTGTCATATTATTTTTATTAAAGATAGATGCACCTATATAGTAAAATGTTGAAAATTTAAAACCCTACAAGAGGTTATTTTCCGCTCACTGTGAAATCGTTGTGTAATGCATGATAGACTTGGATCAAACTTCTGTTTAAAAATCAAATGATTTTGATTTTTTAGCACAATGTCAAAATACCTACATGTGTATCTTTCAGAGACGGATATGGTATTCAGATATCCTTACTTCATCAAAATTGATCATTATTAAATGTATATACCTGTAGCACATTATTCTAAGAAAGCATTGAGTGCCAAAGTAAACTTTTGACACCATTCATAAATTTTAAACCCATATATTTTTCCAAAATTTTTGTCAATATTTGTAGCCAATAGGAAATTGCCTCTATTTGTTCAAAAAAAATTTCCAAAAATGTTGCACCAAAGTATAGTCAATATATTGTACTGGCATGCAAGATGCTCAGTATATGCCATGCATTTGATTCTATTGTCTGATGTGTTTTAGGCTTACTCTTGAGACTGTGGATGATGATGGTATGATATACAATGCTGCAGTTAGTGATCTGATGCAAGGCACTCAACTTCAAAGTAACTACATGAAAACATGCAGCTGTAAACTTACTAATATGACAGAAACTCCACTGACATTTAAACTTGTTACTCTACAACCATTCGTCTTGGTCAATCTGGATCCACCTGAAAGCAATTCGCTGTTCAGACAGAAATCATCCATCAAAAAACAAGGCATTAACGAAAGTCAATTGTACACACTGCGTCCACAGTATAATCTACAGGTATTGTGATGTTTATATATATATGGGAAATACACCATTCCTGTATTGTAGTACGATGTTGGTATGTATGATCAATACACCATTCCTGTGTTGGTATGTATTGGCAATACACCATTCCTGTGTCGTAGTTTGGTGTTGGTATGGGGCAGTACACCATTCCTGTGTTGTAGTATAGTGTTGGTGTGTATGGGCATTACACTATTCCTGTGTTGTTGTATGGTGTTGGTATGTATGGGCAATATACCATTCCTGTGTTGTAGTATGGTGTTGGTATGTATGGGCAATACACCATTCCTGTGTTGCAGTATGGTGTTGGTATGGGGCAGTACACCATTCCTGTGTTGTAGTATAGTGTTGGTGTGTATGGGCATTACACTATTCCTGTGTTGTTGTATGGTGTTGGTATGTATGGGCAATACACCATTCCTGTGTT